TGGTCAATGTCCTATGCCATAATCACTATTTTCTTGGTGAAATCTAGCATAAGAGGAACGGTTATCTTATGGAAAAAACTTATACTAGTGACAATCCCAAGTTAGTTTTTATCGAATCAACATTCACTGATTTCATAAGTGACCTTGCTGATTTTCCAAGCACAGTGAGTATTCCATATGACAGTATGAAAGTATCCACCATAACTATTTTTTCAAAAGACAACAAGTATTTTCAATTTACTGTGAAATGTTACAATTAACCTCTTTTTTTCTAAGACTCAACATTCACTGGGTGTGTCAAGGAAGAAAAAAGTACTGTAATGTTTAAGTGATGCCAAACATCTGGATAAAATCATAAAAAACATCAACTGGATATTTGTTTGAAAAATGGAAGTTGTTGAGGAACATATATAAAACCTTCATATCATTGCCTGACATCTTTGCTCTTTTCAGAATATGTTATTTAGATACAGACAAACTGTAAGAAAACCACACTCTAAGAAGATATTTGCCCAATATTCTATCTGCTTCCCAACTTCTGCCCTTTTCTCCCCACTGGCACTACCAAGTTAGCAAATAAGTAAGCAAACAAATAAATACATCTACTAATTTTCTAAATTATGTCAAAAATTAAACAGAATTACAGGTGCAGTTAAATTGATAAGGAAGCAGATCTCTTACTGAAGCACCACTTACAGCACACCCAAAGGGATGGCCTGGGCTTCGGCAGGTAGTTCTAATTGCAGGCAGATGTGCTGTTAGAGAAGAAAACTACAGAAAAAGAAAAGGTTACTATGTGGCCTGTCTCAAGGGAACTAGTATTATGTAAGAAAAGTGTGACTGGATACATAGTTAAAATACTAAAGTAAAATGCTACGGAAACTAGAGAAAAGTGAAAAAGTATATATCCTTCAATTTCATGAGTCAAACCCAAGCTTAACAACTTAAAGGCAGGTCCTAAGATGTCAACTGCATTAAGTAGGTCTAGTCTCAGGCGGAAACTTTATTTCCTGTGATGTATCACTGTGGGTTTTGATTTTACATTTGTAGCAGTAACTTAACTTGCTTTTGTTCCAAAATGAATTTCATGCTCAACTTGTTTTTCTTAATTAAACTTTCTTTAGCAGTCCCTAATATGGGTATTATTAAAACTCATTAGTCCCATTCACGCTTGCCTATCATTTTTTGGCTACACATTCATATATTGAAGTGTTCTGTTGCTATATATAAGAAGAAAATTAAATAATAAATATGGAGACTTGAACGTTTTATGAGTGTCAGGATGAGAGACTGCCTGCAAGGCCCATAAGGTTTCACACAAAAGAGGCATTACTGCTAAAGCTAACACGCTGACACATCTCTGATCTATAAAGTCTGCAGTAATGGCAGCACTAAAGTGTTTTGCCATTGACTAGAATTTCTCTTACATGCAACGGAAATAGGCACAGAAGAGATTATATTGACTGTTATAAAACGAACTCATATAAAATCCCCCAAAAGTTTAATGTCTAATAATTTCAAGTGCCTGAAGTGATTTACTAGTTTTCTCTGACTTCAGTTAAGTTTAGAGTTGATCATCTTTCTCTCTCACACAGGTTTACTACCAAATAGGTTGGTTTGTTTTTTGGGGTGGGAGGCGGAATTTTAAAGGCAAAAATAACTCATATCCTTTTATAGCAACATAGTAATATTCGACATCATTTATGTGACTCCATTAATAACAAAGCCAAAATAATCAAATATGTTACTGTTAAGGAATCACTCTTCTTAGAAACAGTTGAGAATGTTGCTATTCCACGAGATTAACAGGTGAGCTACCTCAAAATACTTTAAATTATCTTTTAAAAGCTATTAAAAAGGACACTCTAGATCCATCATGAATGTTCACTACTTTATTTTTTTTTAAATTTTCTGGGCTTTGCAAATTTGAGATATTAAAAAATTGAAATTTTACATTAACTGAAACTTTTGTTTTGTTTTTATTTATCTCAAGAGAGCATAAGAGATGGAAAATTTGCATTTTTGGATGCCATGTGTTAAATTGAAATATCACTTAAAACTATTGTCCTTTTCATTTTACTTTCAATTAAGAGTGTGTAGCAATTTTCTTTTCAAAAAAATCGATTAATATAGAATAGCATGTAACTATATTTAATCATCTCAAAATCATAGAAGGAAACTGTAGGAAATAACAATTCCTATTGAATGGTAGGTTAGTTAGAACACATGGAAGGCTTTTGAGAGACCGGTAGAGCTGTCAAACGAAGCTCCAATGAATGCAACATCAGTTTTTTCATAGTCACAAGCTTTGGGGAATCCACCGCTATTTCTCGTCACATACGTCAGGAACTGTACTTGCAATTTTCTGGGGGTCAATGAGGGCTTCCATCCCTTCATCCCAAACTACCACATTTTGTGTTATTCTTAATCAAAACTGGAAGAGCTGATCAAGACCACCATATTCTTTTAAAAATCACAACCAAAAATACATGTTTGGATAAGGTAGAGCAAAATGTCATTAATTTTCTAAGTGAACTCTTGGGTTTTTCAGTTCTTAAAGTGATCTACTCTATTAGTAGAGAGCATTTCTATTACTGGGTAACTTGCTCTTATTTATTGGCTACAGTTTTAAAAAAAATTTGTAGTGTGTCATTTTACTCTTATTTCCATCATTATTGACCTTCCAAAGTGGATCTACTACCTACAAAGTTACCAAAGTTCTGTGCAGGAACTGCTTATAGAAGCCAAGGAGTAAGCCAAAGTTTCCACTTTTTCTTTTCCACTGATGAAAGAGAATAAAACGAAGGAGTAGAAAGTATTGATGATTCCTAACAGAGAAAAATATTGTTCAGCCATGACAAAGGCACTTGAAGCTGAGTCTTCTGCTTTGGCACTATATGGCAAATGCCATGATCACCAGTTCAATGGTTGTGAAATATACAGATTAACTTTTAAAATAACCTTCTTCCTCATGTTTCATATTCTCCATCTACTTATAGCAACGTTTTATTCTCTACTAGCCCAGAAAGAAAAATTCCAGCTCACCTCCCATTCACCTTTATTAATTATTTACTATCATCATTTAATGTGTTATTTACTAGCTGACTTCTTTTTTATTAATTTAAACTTTGAAAAAAAGATGTCCACTATTGTTGGACTGTGCAGCTAAGATCAGTGGCTAGAATGTACCAATACACAGAACATCCATTCTTCTAGCTCACCCTGCACATGAACCACGTGACTTAGAGCTGTGTAAAAGAAAGGCAAATCTAGCCTCTCAGATATCTCCTTAAAGCTAACAGTTGGGCTTATAAAAATTATTTTTTGTTATTTTTGTCACCTTTAGACAAGCTTACACAAAACCTGCAGAAATAGGAAATATTTAACTTCTCCACCATAGAATCCTTGGGAGACAAAGTTTTCTATTTTGCTATTTCATCTTAAAAAAGAAAAAAAAAAAGGAATGGCATTGTGCTTGTTTCAGAAGTTAGATTTAAGAAACACATACACACACAAAACCAGGAAGAAAATCTGGCAAGGCTTCCCTTTCAATACCAGGATTTCTGATGTATTTGGAGTTCCTGAAATAAGTACTGGGATGATGAGTGCTTCAGATGACATTGAAGAGTTGCATTTCATGAGTTCACACATAATGGAGAGGCTTCAATGCTAAAGCCATAAAAAATTTATATTCATATCATAATCTGTAAACAGAAACCCCTGAAAAAATATTTGATGTTTTTTTAAAAAGATAAAATTGTATAAAAAAATCATTATTTTATATTTTAACAATTACCTATCTCCATTTTATTCTAATGTATTTGTCTGTCTGAAGGTTTAAAATTTAACGGATTGGCCTTAAATAGGAAGAGTCAACTAAAATTATAATGCTGAGGTGTCCAAAGGTATAAAGGGGTGGGAGATATTCATTAGCCTATTTAACATATCTATATACATATTTTAAATGAATCAGTTCTTCATGTTATTGTTCTGAACTTATGTGTGTTCCTAAATTGGTTCAGAATAATATGCTTTTCTGGATTCCAAAGCAACTTTTAGTTTCCTAAGTCAATTAATATTACTCATTTAAGTGATTAATTTTAATTCTATCTGCTGAAATTGATTTTCCTTCTGCAAATAATGATGAGCTTTTCTTGAGGGCTAAAAAATAAGATAACGAAAAGGAAAAAAAATTCCTTGTATTCAGCTGCAAGAAAATGTCTGAGAACGCGCGCGCACCGCTCAGTTGGAAAGAAAAGCCAGTGAGTGGCGAGGCAGCCACGGTAGGGATGCATCAGAAATGCAGCCGACTGCCTCATTCACTCGCCAGCCGGGGCCCTCGGCATAAAGGCTGCAACGCCTTCCTGGACTCTTCCAACTCCAAAAAGTTACCTCGAACTGTATTATGCAAAGTCTTGCAAGTGAATTACAAGACAACATGTGTGGCCAGTCATCCACTTCTGTGTCTATCCAATGCAGTGACCCGGTAACCCTTTAGTGTTCGGCTGAGAGAAAGGGGAGGCGGGAAGGGGAAGGGAAAAGGGGAGCGAGGGGATCACAAGATAACACGAAAACAGCCAATTCCCCCTGCAAAATTCCCGTAGAAGCCAAGACAGCTGCCGAAACTGCAGCCAAAGCAGCAGCGATTTCTACTTGGGTTCTCCCCCGGCACATGCAGGTTTTCCAAGGCATCCCTGCTACCTCTCTTTTAAAGTATCACTAGGAGGAAAGCACTGGATCCAAGAGGGATCTCCCAACTGAGAGGTTTTCGATGCGAAGTTGAGATCTCGGAGGGTTGCTTGACTTCCCCACCAACGCCACAAAATAAGGTTTTTAAGCTCGATCTAGGTAACTCCCTAGCGACCCACCCCGAGATGCGCGAGGTGGCTTTACATCCCCTTTTCTCTCCCCATTTCACGGGCGCCGCGTCCTCAGAACCTACCGCGCAGCGGCACACAAACCCAGGCAGCCCCCTCCCAATAAAAGACCCCCAAACTTACCCTCAGTAAGATAAATCCACAGAGGGAACCCCCTCATCCTCCCTTAGTCCCCTTCCAATCATTCAAGGAGACAGTTTCTACAACACTTCGCCGTCAAATTCAAGCTGAATTGGTCAAAGTATTTATCAGCTTCTAGACGCTTTTTTTGAATCTTGAGCACTGGTAATTCTAGTTTCAGAATTCAAGAGGCTTCCTTATTTGTTTTTCTTCTTTAAGCAGCCGCAACCCCAGTTTTGCGCCCCCCCCGTTTTTTTTTTATTCACCCACGGACACTTCCAAAACGTGTCGATTGATCCTTTTTTCTCTCCAGATGAAACCACGATCCAGAATTCTCGGGACCCAAAGCCACCTCCATGTAAATCCGACCATCAGGCAAGAAATAAAAATGATCAAACAACGTTACTTCTTTCGACTGCAATCAGATAATCCTACTAATCCAATAGATTTATCTCGATTGGAAATTGACCTCAAAAATGAATCCCTGGCGCTGATGTCCAGTAAAGCGATTTCGTAGCCCTGTTCGGGTGACCGAAAGAACTGTGGCTTCTTTCTTTCTTCTTCTTTTTAAAAAATCTTTTTGGATTCTGGGTGCACTGCTCTCAAAAAATGCCGAGGACCCTGGTTTTCCCCTAATATAGGTTTCTACTCCAAATCGGTGCAGGATGAAAAATGGTACAAAGATACCCCTAGTGGCTTGAGGTGATATTGCAGGGAATCGCACTTTTTTTTTTTTTTTTTTTTTTTTAATCCCCTCTCCTCACCTATTTTCCCCCCTCTGCCCGGTAGATAGATAACTGGCAGCTATGTAGTTCTCCTGCTTATAGTAGTTAAATAAGAAGGCTGAACGGAGATTAACATGAATAGTATAAGACTCCTTGAAAACATCGTCTGATCTTGTTTTACTTTAAAGACTGAGTCTTCTGTGCTTCTTTCTCCCCAGTATTCCATCTTTTTTTCAACAGTTTTCCCCAATGGCATTTAGTAGCTAAAATGCCAATTTGGAGCAGCTAGTGATTTCAAAGCAAATGTATCTGTTTCCTGAATAACTATAGCCCAAAGAAACCCCAAGCGACCTGAGACATGCTGCTTTCAGAAAAAAAAAAAAAATTAACATTTTGTTTTCTTTAGAGTTATATGATTATGGATACATATTTTTTTAGACAATCTCTTCTCATTCTGGACTTTTGATATTCATTCAACAGAGCAGTAGATGGCTTCTGTGAGCCTATGGTCAAAAAGTTAGACCTAAGGGTCATTACATAGTTCTTAATGCTGCTTATCTGAACCCTTTGCAATTCAATGATCTCAAGATTACTACTAGCATTTTTGACAAGTTTTAGAGAAAAAGCCAATGCAATGAATTTCAAGATTCCATTTTGGTAAGCAACACTTCACAAACTACTGTGTTTACCACAGACCCAGGAATCTTTTTAAAAAGAGGATTCTGGTTTGGTAGCACAAGAGAAGGAATGAGATTCTGCTTTTCTAACAAGCCCTCTGACCACATCCTGATTATCAAGGACTTAGTAAACTTGGGAAGTTGAATTCATTCTCATGAGAGCGTGCAATAGCTGCAAGAACTCCACCATCTTTTTCCTTAAACGAACTGAATAATTAAGGCTTCTTAGTGTATGAGCTATTAAGGAGTCAAGAGACCTTCCTTCTATTACTGGTTTTGTTATTGACTATGTGACTTTGAGCAATCACATTTTGGCCCGTAGCTAATTTATCTATTAAAATTGAAGAGTAAACCAAAATAAATGAACATACATATCTGTTCTTAGATGGGAGACTCAATGTTGTAAATTAATAATGTAATTATTATTAAAAGCCCACTATAATTTTTCATGGAACTTGAAAAGTTAATCTTAAAATGTGTTTGTGGGAGCAAAGGGTCAAACTTGTCAATACAATTTTATATATAATACAATTAAGAACAAGGTATGGATAATTTTCATATGAACTATTAAGACTAAATAGAAGATGACAGTAACTGAGACAATGTAGCTTTGGGTCAGGGATAAAATTAGTCCAATGGAATAGAATAGGGGGCTCAGAAATGTATCTCTGAATTTATGGGAACTTTATAAATAACAGGTGGCATGAGAGAGAAGTGAGAAAAAATGAATTATTCAGGCAATAGATTAGGCTTATGAAAAAATTATAATTCATACCTAAATATGTATGTAAGGTAGGATAAAGCCTTAAAGATGCAGAGCAAAACTTAAAACCTTTAGAAAGAAATAGCTTTGTGATTTGGGGTAGATGGGAATAGAAGGGTTTATTAAACATTAAGAAATAAAAAGTTAAGTCTATAAAGGAAAAATGTTATTTTGATATATTAAAATTAAAAATTTATGTGCATCAAAAAAGTCAAGGCATAGGCTGACGAAAGATATTTGTTATTCACGTAACCAAAGGAGGATTAGTATCCAAGTACATAAAGCTTTCTTACAAACCTATAGAGACAAAAAAAATACGATAGGAAAAAATGAGCCAAGATGAACTCTTAATTGGCAGAAGAGAATTCTCAATGGCCAATAAACATCTGAAAAAGATACCTTAGTTATTAAAGAAATACAAGCTAAAATGATGAGATACCATATCATAGGTATGAAATTGGCAAAAATTTTAAGTCCAGCAATATGAAAGAATGATAAGAATGTGGAGAAACCATGGAAAGTATATTAGAACAATTTCAGAGAGCAGTTTAGAGATAGTTGAAGACTCTCATTTCCTAAAGTTGAGTCTCTCTACTCCTGTGTACTTCTCTTCACATGTACAGAAAAAAAAACCATTGCAGAATTACTTGAAAGAGAAAAAAAAAGGAAAAGGAAGAAAAAATTTAAACACCTTTGGATAAATAAATAGACACGTACTTTATAGAATAATCACATACTGTGAAACTAGAAACAGTAAAAAGAAATATAGCTATTTGAGTTCACATGGATACATCTCAAAAATGCAATCTGGAGCAGAAACAATAAAAGCAGTTTGCAGAAAGATACCTGTGGGAAGATACCATTTATGTATCAAGTTTTAAAATGTGCAAAAATAAATATATATATTTTGAGCATATTTATATGTGGCAAAAGTATATAAACATCCATGATAATGATAAACCTGAAATTCTGGGTAGAGGTTATCTTTGGGAAGAATGGAGGTTAATGACATTAGGAAGAATCACAGGGAGCTTCAGCTGAATCTTCAATGCTTTATTTCTCAGGCTGAATCTTGAGTACACAGATGTTTATAATATTACATATAACTTGTTTATATGTCTGAATTATTTCATTAAAATGAAATATTTAAATTAGATGACTTCCATGAACCCTTTATAGTATTAGAAAATTTTCTAATTAGAATAAATATATGTAGAAGTGAAAAGAAATAGTATGGGAGTTTGGAATTTCATAATGTGCTTTCTTTTAAAAAATCTGTAGTATTTTTTATTTCTAAGAAGTGTAAATGGATTAATGCTTATTTGTTTCTACAACAGATATGAAAATTTCCAGCTAGTAAGCAAAACCACCACCCAAATGGAGAAAAGTGTGGTTGAAATAGGGGGAAAATGTACCATATACAAGCTCCTTCTTGTCTTTTCTTTTGATCTCACATGGAGTAACCATGTCTCTGAAACTGTAAAACAGGCAATCAATTGATCATGTTCAGTTCTGACCAGTTAACTGGAAATCACCAAAACCAGAGTAACCCTAACCCGAACTACAACACAAAAGATAATTTTTCCAGAATATTTAAAATACATACGTAAATTCAAATAGGGAGGTTATGTTGATATGAAATGTAAGAACTGGAAATCTCATTTCAAAATCATCAGACAGTATTTTTCATAACTCATTCAAAATTGGAGAAGATATCAAATATTAGGAAAGAATTTTTTAGGGCCCAATGTTAGAAGTAAAATGAGTTAGATTAGCAGTTAGTACCACTCAACTCACATTGAATGCAAGAAAGATGCTTGGACAAATCATCAATTAATTTTCAGAACAGCATTCCCAGGCAATAGCCAAAGCAGCTTTGGCTATTAAACAAGGGGGAAGAAGCAAATGTAATACCCAAAATTTGGAGGGGCCGACATATTCTTTCAGCAACCATTTATTGAATACCTCCTGCCTACTGGGCATAGTACAAAGTATTTCACAGGAGAGTTAACATTAAAACAAATAACCACCATAAACCCGTAGTTAGCTATTGATAATTGATTTGTTCATTGTATATGGTTAGTAGTTATTCTGAATTAATACTTAACCATCTATGCTGAAAATGAGATATTAGACACTAATATAATATTGAAGGTTCATTTTCAGTGCATTTAAGTACAAACTGATGTGACAGGTTAAGGTAGTCAATGAAAGAAGAAAGTAAAACAAGAAGAGGATGAGGGGTGGTGGAGAAAAGGAAGACTAAGGATAAAAATATGAATCAAACTCATTTCTCTCCCTGGTGATTTACTTTACAGACAAGATAGAAACTTACTTAATCTTTGTATCCCTCCGAGTACAAATGATTAGTGAATGAATGCCTTAATGGATCAAAGTGTGAAGCTAGTTGGTACATGAAGAAAACAAATTTATTCTCTATATTGGAAAGCTTTGCTAGTATCTCTTCAGAAAATGAAATTAAGAGAGGAGGAAAATAAAAAATTACTATGACTAACAATAATGGGAAATGAAAGTCCAAGACTGGCAAACTTGAGTGCCAATTGGAATATGGGATTCCATTTTCATTGTGTCACTAAAATTTCAGCTCTGCTAAAACCTATGGTAGAATTACACATCCTATTTTGGTTTCCACACTTTATACAAACAAAGAAACAAATGATTAATTAATACCAAATGGATCGTGAAAAGAAATGGCATAGTTCTACTAAAAAAACAGGTAAGAAAGAGGAGGCATATTGGAACTTGTATCTCCTCAAACCTTGAAGGCTGTAATGTAAAATGGGCTCATTCTGCATGGATCTGATAAGAAATTTTAACATGAATGGGTAAAGCTATTCGAAATCACAATAATGAATTTATCTGCAAATTCTAAAGAAAAAAGATCTTAGAATTAAAAAACAAAAAAGAAAGTATTTAATTGTTGCTTTTAATACAACAAGAGTCATGAAAAGAGGGTTATGATTTTTGGGGGGATAATTGATATAACAGCACATCTTTTGTGACCAAGCCAAATCAATTAAGTTCTGCCTGGTGGTAAACATTTCAAGATGTTACGAAAGACTG